CTTCCAAATAAAAAATATCAGCAAATGAGAATCTCCTCCTTACTTTAAACATTTTGAAATTTACCTTAATGGATAGAAATAGAAGTTACAAGTGATTTAAAAATTAGGTCAACCTGGTCTATCGCTCACCTGACATCAGTCCTAGGGGGAGCACACTGTATGGTCTGGGTCAGCACACTGTATACCAGGGTCGGACTAGATGATCTGCCTAGGTCCCTTCCGACCCTAGAAACTATGAAACTATGAATTCCAATAAGTTGAAATCACACTAAGTATATCTCCTTAAAAACTGAAAAATGAACACAATGTGCTCTGATCTAGACCTTAGCCAAGTCCCATCTTTCAGCAACATTATATCAGTCACTGGATGACCACCAGAGGCCTATCAGAAAGCCAGACTCCTACTTTAATTGCTTGCCCCCCCAAAAAAGGTCTAGGAATGGTATATGACCCCAGTGCTCTTTCCTGCCCAGAGCAGGGGGTTGGACTCGATGATCTAATAGATCCCTTCTAACCCTAGAAATCTATAAAATCTACTGTATACATGCAGGGACTGCCAAAAGTCTGGAATCCTTACAGTTAACCAATGAAGAAGGATGGCATTCTTAAAACATCCCAGCTTCTAGAATATCACTATCTATCCCTGACCCAGTTACTTTTTCCTGGTCTCTTGTAATAAATGCAGTCAACTTGCCTCAACCTCTGCTGCACACATTAGAATTAGCATAGTACCTTTTATCATTTACTGAAATAATTGCTGCCTTAGAAATAGATGGATACACTGTGGGCGATGGCTGTGTTACAAACTTGAGTACTGTTTCATGCAACATTTGGAACACAAGCCCAGACAACTTTTACACAAGCTATGTTCATCATTAAGTACCACTGGGTTCAGCTTGCAAAACTAGAGGATACAGTTTGGATGTGACACACTTTTTTATGAAACCTGACAGTCAAACTTTCAAAAGCTGAAAGTTTAAAAATAACAAAACAAAAACACAGTATGTACAATGTACTTATATGGGTCATTTCTATACAACCATAGAGAATTAGGGCTGAAAGAGACCTCAAGAGCTCACCTAGTCCAACCCCCTTCCAAGAGAGGGTTATGTCTATCTGAGTGAGTCCGAGTCCTCACATTTTCAACCATCTCTCTTCCTGTCTCCCCCTTTCTCCAGCCCTCCCACCTCCACCCCAACCTCCCCATCTTGCATCCCTTTCCCCTGAGAAAGGAGGCCTTTTAAAAGTGCGTCCCAGATAAATGTAAGCTATTGAAGACACATTAAAAAACTGAGCTATAGAAAAATTGATCAACTGGTGACTAGGCAGCGCCAGGAAACTTACTGGCCATTACAACTCTTTCTTTAAAGGCAATGGGGATTCAATTTCAAGATCACAAAGAGAAACTGTCTTACAGTTGCACTAGCCCCTCTTGCTCATATCATGAAAAACAAAGTACAGTTTAACGTTCCCTATTCTAGAAAGGAGAGAGAATTGGGAGAGAGAGAAATCAGGTCAGAGGCAGGCAGCAGCCTGCAATGTTAACCTACTATATTTTGGTCTAAAATCACAATTATTTTTCCAATGATGGTTTGTAATACTGTCCCATTACAATTGTTCCAAGCTATTTGGGTGCAAGAGCAAATTTCTTCCTGGTATGGAAGTGAACTTTAGGCTTTCCAACTATTTTCACTTGAGTTAAGTCAAATCACATCTCACTCTGCTTATAGATGTTCATCTGCACTGAAATTCTAGCCTTGCTAATAATATTCAAATACCTCTACTTTGGGGAGCAGCTGAAGCAACAAAAATGGTGCAGTGTCTTCAAAATCATTTTGCTTAAACTGCCTTTTAAGGTGATATTGTGAATTTCTGATTAATTTAAATGTTATTTTATTAGCTTTTAAAAATATACCTTCACAGAAGCACAGAGCAAACTATGAGAACAGATAGTGCTTAGAGCAAGAAATTACATGTAAATAAAATATGGTGACAGACTTCATTTTCTATGCAATAGGCAAACAGCTATCTCTGCCGGTAACATGCAAATGAACTGTATTTCAACCCTGCTAAGCTAACGTGCACTGCAGTAAGAGAAAGAATAATTTCACATTCATTTACTTTGGCTTATTAGTCTGATTCTTCATAACTGCAATTCAGCAATTGTGAATGATAACCACTAGCAACAGAATTATGAAGTCAAAATCCAATGAAGTCATTGGAAGGCTGAAGAGATAGGTAGGGGAATGTTTGGATGCAACAGAAGTCAAGTGAGCACGATGAGGAGATTGATAACAGCTTGAAGTATTCATTTTTTCACTTTCAATTGGTCTTTGAGAATTACCAGTATTGGTCAGGGCTAAGCTCAGGAAAGTGATCAGAATTTAGATCAATCTAATGAGATAAGAGTCAACTTATGCACAGCGATGATGGGGCCTCTTCTACTTTATCTAACCCTGATTTCAGAATCCTTCTGTTGGTTATCATTTTCCGCAATGGATTTTTTATTGCTAAATGCAGGATGGAGGTTTTTTAATACTTAATAGGACTGTTTTTCCTCATTTATTCCCTTATGCCTGAAATGACACAACTCTTGAAAACTGCACTGCTTATTTTTGTTCTATTTTATTAGAAAGCAGAGCAAGGATCAACTAGACTAGGGAGGTACAAAGTACCTCAGCAACTGCCATAAAGAAGTGCATTATAATGAGGGGACTGGATTTTCCATTTACCACAGTAAACGCAGATTTTCTCCTTTAACAGATAAAAACGCAGGAAATGGTAGGTTTCTCCTTGCAGGCTGGCAGAGTCCCAGCCTGCAAGGAGCTGGGGGGAGTGGGAGGAGGGCGATCAGCAGGGGGTGCCATGTGCATGTGCACAGGTACATATGTATATGGCCACCAGGCAGCCTGCAGAGCAGCTCCTGCATGCAAGTCTGGTGTGGTGGAGGGGAAAGAGGGGGGCGGGGGGGAAATGAGGGCCCCATAGTGAGGGAAGCAGGGAGGAAGTTGGGTGGGGCTGGGACTGCTGCCTAGGTGGTGTATGGTGTACTTGGGGCACGTGGCTGCAGGGCCCACATGGGAAGTGGGACGGAGCAGCAAGCAGCTCATCTGGGAGGCTGGGGGGGCTGGCTCCCCGCTGCTGCATACACTCCCTGCACTCCTCCGCTGCTGCATGCATGTACCCCCCCAGATTTGTGTGCAGGGCAGGTGTGGGCTGCCTGCTGTGGGCTTAGGCTCCGCACCCTGCTGCCTTTTCCCTGGGACCTCTGCAGCCCAGCAGGTGGGATCCGGCATGCCAGGGCAAAGCAGGGCAGGGAAGCTTGATGTTGCCGCTGCTGGGAGTTCTTCACTGCCACAGCAAGGCAGCCCGGTCTGCCTGCCAGCAGTGGGGGTGGTAGCGTGGAGGGCACCTCACCATGGCAGTGTGGGGATCACAATGGCAGAGGCAGCTGGCCCCGCTCTGCCCCGCCATGCCAGGTCCCACTAGCTGGGCGGTGTCACAACCCAAGGGTGTGATTTTTGTTTGTGTGTGCTTCGGCACTGCTGGATTGTTCCCGCTAAATTGCAGCTTCTTTGCACGGTGGAGTTTTCT